TTTACCTTTTTTTTACCTTTTTGTTTACCTTTTTTCTAACCTTTTTTTTACCTTTCTTGATGTTCCACGATTTACCTTTTTTCCACCTTTACCTTTTTTGGATTACCTGTGTTTTACCTTTTTTCCACCTTTTTGTAAATTATGTTGGTCAAGCTGTCTCCAATGAGTGGGAGTTATAATGTTACTCTTGTCTCATACAACCAAAGCATGCCCCCATCCCTCCCACAACAAACAAAGCAACATCAGCAAGAAGAAAGTGTCAAGATCTTTGAAGACTTTTCTGAGTATGGTGAACTTGTTGCGATAAGCTTGCCTCCGCCATCTTGGAAGCTGACAACCTGCATCATGACGAGCTATCACACATTCGGCAGGCTCGAAACCTGACAGGCTGTCGGCATGCGGCCTTGGAGGGGTCTACGGACACGCGGCGCTCCTGCTCAGATGCGTACCTCCAAGTTTCAAATTTCTGCCAAAGAGCAAACTCGTCAACTTCTGTAAGTTTAAGTCTGCGCGCCAACTGGACAGAGATCGTTCGCGAGCAGCTGCTGCTTCTTCATTTTCAGGCTTGTCCTTCGTCACTTAACAGGATCTCCAAATTGGCTGTCTGTATTGCTTGCCCAGTACTCTGACTGAGCTTTATCCAGACACATAGAAGACCATGCCTTGTCATCAGAGTACCTGCGCACAGGTCTGCGACAAGGTGCAAAGGTTTGCTGGAACCTGTGACTCTAAACGGTCAGATTGCAAGAGCCACGCACTCTAGCTGAAATTGCAAGGATAGTTCGTTCAGTTTAAGAAAGGTATCACTCAATAGACTGAGCAACACTGCACACATAGGGCACCATCCGCTGAGACTTGTCCTGTTCACCTTTGCATCAGCTGGTTCCTCGTCGGGACCGTACATTTGCATTACCTGGCGAGTTTTGGCAAAGCATGGCTTGTCAATTCTCCAGGTCCCTGCATTCCGTTAACAGCTGCTCCAGACCTCCACCAAGGATTTTCTGGCTTCAGCCAAATCTGCCACCGACTTTCGTCTGGCTTCAGAAGTGGCTGTTGAGGCCGTCGATTTCCTCTGCTTGCACTGTGCAAATGTGCAAATTGCTCCACAAAATCTTCGATCTAGGTGGAACAGCTCCTGGTAGACGCTTTTGAAGCCTCGCGCAATGGCATGCTTCTCAGGCGTTGGTTGCGCAGTGCAGCAGCAATAACTCAAGGCAAGCTTTGCTGCAAACGGAAACTGCTGGATGCTACCTCTTTGAATCAAACGCTGCGCATTGTCACAAGCACAACTTCAAAGCGACAGCGCCTGCGTGGCTTCCCTGCGCATCAGGCAGGCAGACATAAACTGCGGATACAGCTGGCTGAGAATGGCTGGTTGGAGGCCAAGACCTTGATATGACTCTGGCACATTATTATGACTGCAAAAATGACTACAGCACGTTCAGGCTCTGCGAATGAAATCAAATGAATGTCAAAGCAGGTTTTCAGCGGCAGGCGGCCTGGCTGCAGCTGAGGCGACGGTCATGAAGCTGGTGTCGCCTACAGCCCCCAGATTCACAAAGCTCTGGAGCACGAGGAGCAACACCCGGGAACATGCTGCTCATCTCTCTGTTGGAAAATCCTTTGCAATGCCGGCCTATCATGTACTCATCAGATGATCGACGTTGGACCACTGACCTCGCCAAGTCACGTTGTGAACCCTTACCTTTGTTTGGATTGCTCAGTTGGGTTTTGGAGCATGCCTACGTGCAGTCGCCGCAAAGCTGGCCCGCGTGGCCGCTGCCTGTGTTTTGCTTGTGAGGGTAGGGTATCCAGAACAACCTGTTTGAAATCTGGATCCAACCGGCAACAGCGCTGCTCACATGCCTTAGGATCATCACCTGGTAATGGCCCACATCCAGGAAGGGACACTTTCGGCCTTCAGTGTCACGTGTCACTTAGCGTGCTTGCACAAAAGCACATCTTGGGCCAAAAGCCCCAGAAGTTGCTGAGCTCATCACTTTGCAGGCAAGGGCTGGTTGAGTGCGTTGCCCGTGGAAGGCCGCGGCAAAGCCGCTGCAGTTGCAGTGAAACTGCAAGGACCGTGCTTTGAATGTTCCCCATCTTTTGAGTGATATATTCCGGGATGGACGCGTTGAATATGAGACGAATTACGTCAGCCGTCTTTGCAGGATTACATGCCGCTGCGAGGCACGGTGTTCCAAAATTTTGTGCCTGGATCCGGATGCAGCGCTTGCAGCAGCGATCTCTGCATCCACCTGCTCATCGATGCTGGCCTGCCGACAGAATGTTGCTCACAGCCTTGGGTAAGAATATGCAATTGCAAACATGTGCCGTTTTGAGCAGGTCTTGTACCAAACAGATCGAAGGACGCAGCCATGCGTGCAGGAACCTTCCTCTGATTCATTTCAGGGATATCTAGGTTAGCATCTTGGCTTGTTACTTCTGGCTCCAGCCAACTGCGTGCAGTCATTTGTACAACGAGGTGAAACAGCCGTGTCGGCCACAATGGCGGTCAGCTACGGTGACGTTTCCAGTCCTGTCCAGCTTCTGCTGACTGCAAGTTTAAGCACAGGTGCATGATGGCTGGCAGAGCCCTGCATTCGCGCGCATCCTCAGGGAAAACTTCGTCACCCCCAAAGGCCTTCGCAAAGTGGATCCGAGCCATGCGCCCGAGCCTGGACGCAATGCTGCTCAAGGCCTTAAGGTATCCATGTTGGCATCAAAGCCTCGCTGCGCAAAATCTCACAGCAACGGGTGCAGTGTTGCGTCTCCTGGAACCACAGGCAGAGCGCCTGTCAGGGCCGTTCACTCTTCCATTGAAACTCTGTTGGCTCGAGACGTTTCAACAAAGCTCGAGCTATCCAGCGGCATTGAAGTGCCTGCTAGCCCATGCCCATTTGCGATTGTGCCGAAGACGCGTGGCAGCATGATCGGCCACACATGTAAGGTCACAATTTGACAGGTCCGCTAAGGTGGGGCACAGGAGCTCATTTTGATCCTGGCTGGCTTATTCTTTTGTGGTGGGACTCACTGAGCCACACACTAACGATAACAGCTGCTCATTTTTAGGATGGCAGACGCAAGAATGCAGGTGTCAAAGTGTTGTCACGAGGGGGGCTGCAAGGCAGGCATTCTACAGTCCGCAGCCCTCGGGCTGAGCAGGGCGCGGTTCCCGCTGCAAAGAACAAGACCAACGTGCGCGCTGTCGATTCAGGAGTCTTCCATACCACGCCTGCAACAGAACTGCGCGGCCCTACCCCCACATGAATTTTTCGAAGTTCCAAGCAACCCGCCTCTACGACGACCCCCGGAAGCAGACTAAGAAAATTGCATAGTTTGCTGCAAAGGGCCAACTACATCACCTTTGTGTTCTGATCAAACCATGCCTGGAATCATTGCAGCTGCAGGAGTGCGGATAATCGCGGTACCACGCACCATCATTTCCTGCCCGCACTCATGACCGCAAATGCGGATCAAAAATGATCAACACACATTGCTTGCGGGCTGTCCAACAGCGAGAGGTCAAAGGCGCTGTGTCCGTTGCCGGCCTTGGCAGCGCAACATGGCGTGAACATGGCGGTGGCTGGATACTGCACTTGTTGGAACTGCAGTGCTGCGCAAACCACCATGGCTCCCTGCCCCAAAGATCTGCGACAGCCCTGATTGCGCCTGGATCGTGTGGCAAATCAGGAATGCATGCAGCAGCGCAGCAGCAATCTGCGGGAAGTCCCTCCATGCCCAACCGCCTCATGCACGGATGACTTCAACGCCAGCACGCCACCGTTCACCAGCAAATTGTGCGGATCGAAGGTTCCCTCGTTGCTGAGAACCAACACCTTCTGTGAAGGGCGCTCCTAACGTCAGAAACCTGCTATGCCCAAACAATAAAGTATGAAGAAACACTTCTACTGCAGTATGACTCCACTCTGGGCTGATTTTTATAACTATAGTTATAGGATTAATCTGCAGGTGGCAGGAGCATGCTTGCTGGCAGCGCAGAACTCAGAAGCTGACAACCATGCCACTCACGGCTGGCACCTCCTTCACACTGCTCTGGCTCACAGGATGCCAACATCAAGGCTAAGCCAGGGTCAAATAGCGCAGGTTACAAACGTAATTAACTGTCCTTGCTGCTGCTGTTGGCTGTTGAGTCAACTACAATTGAGGTCTCGCTCCTCCGCATGGGCCCCAGCCGGTTTGAAAATTGCAGCCTCATCCTGCAACGTCAGTGATAGAAAAGGCCAGCAGAATTCCGAAACCTCTCTCCAGCCGCTCTAGTTGCTTGAACCTCTTGCAAGCAGATGCCATCAAGCATGCCTCCTCAGGGAACTGGTCCAGAGCCGCTGCCTGGCCCTGATGAGAAAAGCAAGATGAAACGTGAAACGATTCCTGTTGATGCTTTCATGCTTTCAGCCTCAACCGGCACCCGTGGGCTCCCAGGAGCTGGTCGGAAGAGGGAAGTTTTTTCCTCCGGTGACTCGGCTTGCCCTGCTAGCCCTGCCGGCTGCGCCTGGCATAGCCAAGGGGCCTAATGTCAAGCTTCAAGCTTCACCAAAAGTGCATTGCCGTGAGACCAACCAAGGATATGGAATGCTAGGGGCCAAATGCCACAGCTTCCCGAATGAACGGCAAGGACTGCCTGGGCTGGTTCCTCATGGGGATTCTCCTTGACCTGCAAAGGTCATATGATGTGCATGGGTTCAGTTTCTGCACAAGCATCGTATACTGATCGAAGAGTGAAAAACAACGCTGCGAACAGAACGGGCCAGCGGTCCTGCCTGGGAGCCTTCGGAAGCACCCCTGTGTTGCAAGATCAGGAGGAATTGCTGCTTAAGCACGCGCAGCCGTGTCGTTGTCTATCTAAGCTGATAGGGCCAAGATACGAAGACACTGGTGACTCCGCATCGCTGCCTGACGGATGCATCAGGTCTTACCTCCTTGCCTGAAGTTACTCGCACCATGCGGAGAAACACGGCCCCTCTATGACTGAGACATCCTGGCCGGGTTGCCACTCAGCTCCGCCAAGGCAGCCCATGGACTGGAATGCCTATCAAACAAGTGGCGCTCTTGGTGTTAATTCCTCTGAGCAAGTGATCTTGGCACAGCCTCCCGGGTGTCTTTGGAGTGGCATTGGGCTCCTGAGGCTCCTTGAAGCGCAAAACAAACAAGCAACTCTAACACGTTTTATTTCAGAGCCATCTCGCCTGAGGAGGTGGGCGCCGAGGAGCTGGATGAAGTTGGGCTTCAACCTGAATCATGGATGTTTGCCGCCGCATGCAATCCTTTGGGTTGCCTGCCTCCTGTAACTTGCGGCGCAACTCAGCCGCGACCAGGTGGACGGTTTTCGTAACGCACCTGGCGCGCCCATGGCATGCCTTCGAACATGAGCTTCAAAATGCATCAAGTACTGGCAGCGCAGTACTGCAGAACTCGTGCACACAACAAACTAGCCCGGCGCCTGTAAAATTCCTCCCTTGTGACCACAGGCACGTTGGCTTCCAGTGTGCCTGTGACGGCGAATGCCTGCAGTCTGTGAGAACTTGGGATGTGAAGGTGCAAGCCTAGAATGCACTCTGCGATGTTGACCAGCTTGCCTCGATAGCTTCCCATGTAAGCCTGGGTCAAGAAGCTGCAGGAAGCGGCAGAGCACAACATGCCTTCTGTACAGCACCAGCTCGCTCCGTCGAGATAGTTGCATGAAGCATGCATTTATTACGCATGAACCAACGTTGCTTTTCCAGCGCAACACTTGGGTAGCTCTGCCTGGCCGCCGAGTTGCTCTGTCGAGCCCAGGCTGTGGGCAAAAGTCCACAACAATCTCCGAAGCTCAACACGCCTTCCGACATCAAACGGTTCTCTTTAATGAGCTACCTGCCATCCTCTGAAGCAACAATGCATACAGGATCCCCGAGAGGAAGGCCACATCTGGCTAGCCAAACCCCCTGGATCCCATGCCTCATGGCGCCATGTGCATCAAGACCAGCACGTCGAAAGTGAGCATCGCACCTTGACAAATTCAAGCTGATACGATTGATGTTCCAATTGCATGCCAACTGAAATTACTGGGGTTGCTGCTCTCGCTCAAGCGTCTCGGTATCTAACAGTAGCCTCTCTACTCTTTGGAGGCACCTTTGGCGCAACATCTGCAACACTGGGAAGCTGTCACACGGCTTGGAAGCAGAAAATTGGGGTCAGGCAAACTGAACTGCTGTTGGTCGCTCTCCGGATCGCTGCCCTTGACACGAACGACGCATGGAGCCAGTGATTTGGCTGCCTGATCATTCACCACATTCCATCATCAACGGCCATGAGCCTCACCTTGTGGATTCAGTGCTGTACCCCTGTGCAAAAAGGCGATCTGAAACTCTGGAATAGGAGAACCACCTGCTTGCAGAAAGGATCGTGCCTGCTGCCCCATTCAATGCGAGCTGAGCACGGACCGAGCTGCGAACCATGCCGCGGATGTTCTCATGATCTGCTACATGTTTCAGTGCACGTGCTAAGCCTTCAATCTTGCAACGGCCATTCCGCCATGAATGTGCCGTATGCATTTGTCCATGCAAGAAAAAAATTCTGGCTCCTGGCATCCCCTCGAGTTTGCACCCTCCTGGCGAGCTTGTTCTGGTAAGCAGCCGCCACCTAAGGAACAACGTCAATCCACCTGGTAGTGCTGCTCGAGCCAGAAGTTCATCCAAATTTGTTGCAGAGGATGAGCAAGTCATGAGGATGCATTGGACAAACTGGATGAAGGGGTTTACCCCCTAGTGTGGCAAGCTATGACACGCTCATGCGCCTGAGCCTCTGCGATAGTGTTGCGCATGCGGGACTCTTCCTGTGACTGCGAGCTAGCGACCGCATCACTTCGAGGACCCTGTCCTTGCCTCTGCATACTGTTCGATCACACGCTCGCGTCGCTGCATCCAGCCTTATTCTTGCGGCACGCAAGTAAGGCTGCCAAACTCATACGTTTGACACCCAACACCCTCCCAGCCCCAACTCTACCTCATCCCTTCCACGCGCACTGACCTACGTGATCCTTTCATTTCTGGGTTTGGGAACTTTGGCCTTTGAAGGGGTCGCCACACTTGGCAGGCGGAGGGTTCGCATTGGGTGTAGCTTGCCTCTGTGAACTTGGAGGATTGTAAACTCTTTTCCCCCCAACTTAGCGCAACCACTAATCCAAATTAGCAATTGAAACGATGACAACAATTCTTAGTCGTTACTCTTCCTGCTGTTGCTGCTGTCCCATGTACAGGTGTGAAGAGCGCCGCATGACCGATGTTTTGGACGACAATGACTTCTGCACACCACGCCACGGCCGCTGCTGCTTGTTCTGTGGTCGCAAATACTGCTGGTGCGAAAAAATCCGATTGCACTACTTGCACAACCATGGCTCAGTGCGCTTTCCACACGCAGTCTTGTCTGGTGGCTGCTCATGGACCATGTCATGCACCATGCAGCCATGCTGGAAAGAACTTGTCAAAAAGATTGCACACTTGCATCACCGGGTCTTCTACACCTACGACAACTGACCTCCGAGGATCTGACAGAAAGCGGCGATCTTAGCAATGGGTCATGTGACATGTAAACCAATCAAATGTCAGCTCCCTGATGCCATCAGTAATCTCTAAGACCACTGCGGCCAAACAAATCAGAAGCGCCAGGAACACACTTGCCAACCACCCGCCTCCGAACACATGTGTGAAACAACCGACCGCAATAGCGAGCGGTATTCCTCAAAAAGGAAATGTCTCCACGATCCTGCCTTCGTCAGTTTCTTGCTCACTGGCTGCCAAAGGGCTTGCAATCCAGGCCTGTGTGCGTAGCCACTCAAACGCCCTCCATGGTTTTTGCTTGGAAGGGAACCTCCAAACCGACCCAGCGCAAAGGCCACGCCCTGGGACGAACTGTTGGTCTAGAGCGCTCACACACAATCCTGCGTGATGCCAATCGAGGGACATGGAATGAAACATTGAGGAACTTGGCAAGTTCTTGACCTCGGCCAAACGGTTGCAGGACTGAACAACCATGGCACTGATGCAACAAACTGAGGACCGGGCCGAACTTCGCAAAGCCATTGCAAACCTGCGCACAATTACTTACAGGACCTTCTGCATGCGCTGAAAACATGTGCTGGGACAGACTGAGGCCTCCACTGCAAGCCTTTTGCACCAAACTGGTGCTACAAACGATGCTGAAACTCTGCTGAGACTTTACGTGCAACTCCTCAAAATTGTATGAAGCTCCTAACACCACACAGCACACCCCCTTGAATTGCAAGCGCGAGATGATGGTGCGACGGCATGCGTTTGAGCCCAGAACCTACAGAAGTCTGCCAATTTTCTTCCCGTCCCGCCCCCCCCCCCCTTTGGCGCTGTGCTGCTCAAGGCAAGAGGAGGGCAAAACATCATGAAATGCCACATACCCTGGGCAACTTCGCAGCCCTTGAAGCACGCATCACTTTTGGCTACAAATTGTCTCCAGCTGATTCTAATGGAATCTATGCTGCCCGGAGCTCAAAGAACTCGGTGCTGGCATCCGCAAAGTAAGCCTCATGTTCGCGGCTGCCACTCAAAAAGCCTTTGCAATGGCAACAAATTGACGAGGAAACGACCAAATGGGCACAATTACATGTTGCAAGCCTATCTTCTCGCAAAGCCTGCGTTTCTGCGCATGTCCAGTCATACTTTGGCACCCGGCCTGCATACCGGCTTTCCACTCGAAAGGCCTAGGTAGAAAATCAGCTGGTGCCTTTGTGGTGGCCTGATGCAGAGAACCTGCTTTGGTTCTCAGGAAGCAGCTCGTGCGGATTTAGCCGCACTCCACCCAAGAAAGTGCCGTGGGCTGAACCCAGGTCCTGACTGACAGCCCGCATGCGCTTCATGATTGAAACCAGCAGCTCCTTCAAGAAAATCTTGCCCGTCCAGTTCTGAAGCACCAGCGCATGTGCTTTAGACCTGGCTTGAGTGTCAGGTGTTCTGCAACTTCTTTGCCGTTTGCGACTGTTGTCTCAATGCGTAAACTCACGCCCACAGGGCTCAGCAACATCGGGGTCAGGATTGATTGAAGCAGCCGCGCGCGCTGTTCGTTAAGAATCCCTTGGAGATTGACCCGTCGCTGAAGGCTTGACATTCTACAGCGATACAAACACGCGCTGTGTGTGCGCTCCTTGGCCATGTTGATGCTCCAGTCTGATTTCCAAAATGCCCCCCACCCGGACCGTATGACAAACAAGGCAGACCCGCGACAAAGGACATGCCAGGCCAATGTCAGGCCTTCGCTTTGCAAAGGTAAAGGACTGCGCATACTGCGCCAGGAAATGCATTCTGCAAAGCAGTCACGCTGCACTTCGCCATGCACTGGTGGAAACTTGCGGAACTGCAATGAAATCTCTCGGCTTTTCCCCCAAGAAGTGCCTGGCAGATGCATAGCAGCAGAAATGCTGCCGTTGACACCGTGCATGTTTGTTGCAGGATGTTCCAGCTGTCGGTTCTGCTCTGTCGATATCTGCGCGAAGCTGTTGCAAACACAACCTTAAGCCTTGTCTGCATCCTAAGGCCTGTTGGAGAACACGAAAGTCCAAATCCCTCCGTGCAGATATTCATGTCTAGAGAGCGCTCCATGACATCCACTTCTTCACGCGTGCTCGTCAATCTCACAATTCACTCATCTGGGCATTCAATGCGCGGATCACTGCATCATCCTGGTCAGGAATGGCTACCGCATGATGCAGGCATGCTAAACCGCATGCCGGCTGACAACATGAGTTCAACTGTTGAAGGATCTTGTGCTCCTGAAGGAACAACTGCAGGCTGCTGCATCGTCTCTTCTTCTTCTGCTCACTGCTGTACCCCCTTCCCCCGAAGGGAAGGGCCTGGGCATTGCCCCAAACAGGAACCGTCCCGTCTCTCTCTCTCTATCTCTCTCTCATTCTTATCCAGTAACAGCTCTCCATCCAGAGCTTTGATGCGTTTGGTCGTGATTGAGTTTGTTCTGTCATTGCAATTGAGCCCCTCATCCCCTTTGTGAGCGTGCGACGTCATCCAGTCTGATGTCTCATTTAGTGGACGTCGTTGACAAAAGTCAAGTGAGCCGTTTCCTCGGCACTTGGTAGCAGCCCTCTGTTTGCTGGCAAGTGCCGAGCCCCATGTCAGCATCCCCCATTCACGAAAGCTTTCAAAGGGTTTCAGGTCCCTTGGGACATGATAGCGGAGCTGCAACCCAGGCGTTCTTGAGTGGTCTACCGAGTCTCTTGCATGCATACATCTACTCAAGCGATTCAGCAGGAAAGCCAAGAAATCAATGCAGCGCATCTCTCTCTCTCTCTCCCCTTCGTCTTCCTCCAGGGAGTAGGGAGTGCCTCCGTCTTGTCGCTGGCCTATTTTTCTAGCTAACGTACCCTCAACACACTTCAACGGAAGCAGGGACCCAAACCCAAGCACGCTCAACTCCCTATGCCTAAACGATGGGGTCTCGCTTCGGGGAACGAGCCTAACCAATGCCAAGGGGCCTCTGTGTAAAGGCCACTGGAGAGCAGCTCACTCTTTTGTTGCAGCAGCCATTCCAAGCTAAACTTCGGAGATGGCTTTTGCTGTCCAAGGTACTCTGGCTGTGGCGGGCAGTTTGCTTCAGCAACTTCAGTAGCTCGCTCCGCCCCGGTTTCCGCAACACGTGGTGCAGGAGCAGCCAGGTACTTAAGTTCTTGCGAATCTGGCATCTCTTGCTGCAAGATGCGCTGGCAAAGCTCCTGCACTTTCCGACGGAAGTGGTCGCGTGAGGCAGCCAGGGTCTCACACCGCAGCTTCTCCTCGCAGAGTTGGAGCTGAAGCCTTTGGATTTCGTTCTCAGCTGACAAGGTTGCGCTGACGTCAACCGCCTGTTTGTTAGCCAGTGCAGCCTGGACCTCTGAACATCTCTTGCGAGCTTCAGATGCCTCGAGCTCCAGCTCTGCTAGCCTGGACTCCAGCTGGGCATGCTTTGTCTCCTCGAAGTCAAGGGCTTGCTTGGTTTCAGCCTTCTGACGCCGCAAGGCCTCTTCACACGCCTGGATTGCTAGCTCCGATCTGCGCTTAGCTTGAGCTCCCTGGGCAGCTGAGTTGGATAACTCTGCAGTCATCGAGATCTCTCTCTGCTGAATTTCCTGCAGCTTTTTCTTTGCACGCTGCTCCAACTCTCGAAGCTCAGCCTGCCTCTGCCGAAATGTCTGCATTCGTAGTAACTCGCGTTGGCGATACTCCTCCTCCAGCTCTTCCCGCAGTTGTCCAGTGCGCTCTTGCATGCGACTCTTTGCTCGCTCCTCTTCCTGCTGCTTCCACATCTCTAAGGAAAATGCCGCTGCATATGCAGGGCTAGATCTTAAGGCTTCTAGGCCTTCGGCAGCAAGAGCAGCCAAGTCCTGGTCATTTGCGACGGCCGCAGCAAGATGAAGATTTGAGCCAACTATCTGCACATCTTGTGCTTTGCGCGAGCTTGGCGCGCTCTGACTGGCGACAGGCGTCGCAGAAGGTCCCAAGTCTTCCACAAAAAACAATACCCGGATCTCGCCGACAATGTCTGGGGACTGTTCCTCGGCACTGCCCAGCAGGCACACTTGATCGAACACTCGAAAGCCATGAACCATGCTTGGCAACCTGGCCGAGCGCCGCAAAGGCTGCGAGAAAGCAAGGCCCAAAGAAACTTCGGCGAGGCCCAAAAGGGAGTCTTTCCGGAACGCATCCCGTGTCCACACTTCTACATGCAAGGACTCCTGAAAAGCCGCTTCCAAGGCATCCTTGGTCGCAGTGAGGCTATATGCTGCGAAGCCTTTTGGCAAATGTGTTGTCACGTTTTGCCTTGCCAGGACTGGTGGGTACGTACGGAACGTCCACGGCTTTGCTTCTGCTGCTCCAGTGGATGTGCAGGCGCGCAAAGGCCCGTACGAGTATGCAGCAGAAACTGTTGCTGAGCAAGTCTTTAGCTTCACAGATCGTGCTTCTAGCGAGACTCGCCACGTCCTAGGCCCAGTTGCAACATGCGCCTCATCTCCCCGATCCCTGATCGATGCATCAGCACGCAGATCTTGCAAGCCATTGCTTCTGCCATTCCAGGGGACGCGGCGCACAGTGCCCTTGAATTGAGCGTTCACAGAACTGGCCCCGCACACATGTGCATCTGCGCTGACTGCAGGCTGATCTCTCGTTGCAGACTCTGCAGCTTTGAGCAGCATCGACAAATCTAGAGGATAGCCTGCACTTGCTGCGTCCTGATCTGACAGCACAGCTTTGACTACCTTGGCCTCTAGATTGTACAGTGCTGCTGCTGCCTCCTGCCATGAATCCGTTGTAAGCAGTGTTGTTTGTATCTTTGTCCCTGATCCCAGTGACTGCTTCGCACCATCGAGGCACAAAAGCAAGCCATCGCCACATGCAAGGCATGCCAGCTCCTGCAGCGAGAAATGAGGTGCGCTGGCGGCGACTCAGCAAAAAAAGCTCTTCAACAAATTGCGCGTTATGTAGCGTTATTGACGCATCACAAGTGAGTGACTGTTTAAGATGGTGGTGCATGGAGCCCTGTATCACTCCGGCCTCAGAAAGTTGGAAGGAACAGGGAACGGTACTTGCATGATTCAAATATCGGAAATATCGTTGTTTGGATGCATTGCGAGAAGTTATCCTTGGACTCCTTCTGCGCAGTTTAGGCCTTTTGACTTTCGACTGTAACTCAAGCAGAGCCAAGGATCCAGGACAAAAGTGCATGCGGAGAGATCGTCGACCATTCTGTAAATCTGCGAAGCTTGCCAGGCGAGACTGCCATCTCTGCAGGTGAACTGCCAGAACCTACTTCATTAAGGCACACGCATGCGCTCGCATATCAGAACTACGGCGAACGAGGACCCATTAACGTCTGAAACATCTCTGGGGTAAGCTTGCTGAGGTCGACTGCCCTTTTCATGCTCCTCTGTGTGAAACTGAGACACGAACGGAGCCCAGAAGCGGTGACGAGAAATCACAGAAGATGCAGCCGAACGCTTGCAGCTCGCAAGCAGCTTGCGGCACAACACTGCAGGGCATGCCAAGGACTGGGTGGCAGGCTCGGGCACCCCTGCTCGCCTGGCTTCTTCCGCTTGGGCTTCGTGCAGCCTGCTCAGGCATCTTACTAGTCCCAGCTGCTGCTGCGTTTGCGCATCCGCGTCTGCTGTCTACCGCACCTTCGACCCAGAAGAGCCCAGGCTCGACCTCATGCCGAATTCACTGAAGCCATGAATGTCACGAGTGCTGCATCTCAGAAAATCATTAGACTTGCAGCCCACAATCAACTGCAAATTAGTAGAATGAGCTTAATCCTGAGCCTGCCGCGCCCAAGCCGCATACGCTTGGATGGGAGGCTGCTTCCTTGAACGTGCCGCACCTCCCGCCGCTGCCGGTCGACTGCTACAGCTGGATAGCGGCGCATTTACTTGACGCACGAACTGACTAATGCACTTGCGCTTGTGGAGCTGTTGGTTCGCGCGCTGCAGGTACAGCGGCCAAGAACCAATAGAACTGAGGCCCATACAATTTCCAGCAACACTTCCTGTCATGCGTACTGTAAGTGCACCTTACAAGCACAGACTTGAGAATGGCTGCCAGGAATTTCAGCGACGCATCGCTAAACTTTGCTCGGCTCCCAGTAATTTGGCCTGCAGTGGTCTTCCTATCCTTCCTACTCCCCTTCCCCATAGGCCTCTCTTTGTGGCCTGCATGCTTTGGAAGACCCAGCCACCCATTACTTTTCCATGCATGCTTCCCTGCACGCATGGATCCATGAGTCCCAATCGGCTTGAGGATCACGAGGGGCACCAAATCCATCAGGATACGCAAGTTGTTAGGTTTGTCAGCACAACGAGATGCGCCCCATGAGCCAAGCACAGCTCTCCACACAGGTAGGTATGAAACAAGCGAGTGCGGCCACGTCTCTGGGATTGGGCCGCACGCACCTGGGCCCCCGCCATTTAGCAAAAGCTCTTTCTTGCCATTCCGTGCATGTGCTCAGCACTGCCCCTGTGCAGGCTGCATGCTGCTTTTCTCCTCACGACCATGATTCTTCGCCACTTCGGCAGTAAGCTAAGAAACCTATGCAAAGAGCAAGCAATCTGCAAGCTGTCTAATTCGCGGCACACGCAAGTTTTCGCAGAACATGTACCATGAATCTACCAGCTTGGAGTTGATAAAGCCTGGATGCACATCCTTGGGTTGGACAATGCTAGATTTTGAAAGGTATTCCTCCACCAAACATCACCAAACATGGAACGAAATGATTCTACAGCTGGAGCCAAGTCGCAAGCCGCAAAGAACCAAGCCCACATCCTGAGTTAGGCACACTGTGCGTGCCGCAGAAATGATACCCGAGGTGGCTGATGCAGCCAAGCAGCGGCCAGGGGTGCAACCCTCAAGCGCAGCAAGGTTCCTGGCGCCTCGCCGCGCGGGCCCTGCCACACATGCTCATGCACAGTACCAGATGCCCAGGCAGCTGCACTTCTGACTTGTGCTGCGCAAGATGCATTCGACTACACGCGTTCCTTCAAACCTTCCTGCAAAATGAAACATAGCTGCAGCATGGGCTCCCTGGCACGCCCAGGTGGTGGCCCTTGCTTTACAGAACGCAACATCCGTCTGCATCCTGTCTTACCCATCTGACCCGCACCAGAGTTGCATTCAGGCAGTTTAAGCAGAAAATGACTAAATGAGCAAGTATTCGATCCGGTGCCAAGCATGCATTGCATGCTTACATGTGCTGAGCAACATCGCCAGCTTCCGTGGGAAAGATCAAGGAAGCGCAGCGCCTGCTGCGTAACAGGCTCTGTGGTGGCGAGCAGCCGACCGCAAAGGTCCGCCAGATTCCTGATATACATGAGACAGAGAGAGCGAGAGAGAGACAGACAGAGAGACAGAGAGAGAGAGAGAAGGTCATGTCATGCGCTGCCTAACCATCTGATTCTTGAGATTTCTTGCGTGGACGCTGCCGAGCGGCATGGTCTGATGCTGGATGGATCCAAAAAGGAGCAGCTTCTGATCGAGCTGTGTTTCGATGATGCACTTGTCCTGAATGCCTTGACGCGGTTCATAAGTGAGGCGTGCAAAAATCTGAAGGTTGGCATTCAGAATCCTTGGCTGCAGAGGCTTCGCATTCCAGAATCGCGTAACGATGCTGCCTCCCAACTGACAACAAAAACCACTGCCGAAGGCATCCAAAGGTCTCAAAAGTGATTGATGCAGAGGTATGTGGAACTGATACTCTGGCTCTGACACACTGTCCCAGCAAGGCGTTCTGTGGACTAAGCAGCTTTCTCCGAGCCATGGGGGCATCAGTATCAATTCGAAGCACCACCCCTCCGGCAGAATCGATCACATCAGAGATCTGACCCCGCTGTGGTTTGGAGCATATCAAGAGGATGCACTCGCACCCCTCTGGAACTACCAAATCCGGCGTGAAGTATGTGTGTTCCTCGCAGGCAAAAGCATGCCAGCAGATCCCGCCAAGCGCAGCTGCCCTGCTACACAAAGTGGGAAGGCTTTAAGATGGCTTCAGTGCCACCGGTACTGTGAAGCATGATGAAACAGACTCTCTCTGCTTATTACCTGCTTCGAACGCCCAGTGCGTCTTGGACACGAGGGCTGTCAACGCAGCATTTGTGAGGTCGCTTCGCGAGAGGCTTCGCTCCTTCTGAACAACTCTGGAAATGCAAAGGCATCATGCGCTCAAAGGCTACGCTCCTCCCATCTAGAGGCAATGGCAGCATAAACTGCCACAATGAGCATCACCAGAAAGACGATCACGGTCACTAGAAATGTCCCGCCCGACCATGTCAGGTCCTCACATTGCGCTGAGATTGCCCTTGCTTCTTATGTGCGCGTGAGGTGACGACCATGGAAGTATGCATTTGATAGCCCCTGCTCATGCGCACTGCCTTGGTACAAGCTTTGCAGTTTGAACAGGGACTCCGTGCAAAGAGTCAAAACATGCCGAGACTCAAACGATCTTGGAATGTGGGACCCGGTTTTGCACGGGCATGCGCTAAAGCATGCTAAAGCTTAAAGGGCTGCAGGCTTTAAGAAAAACAGATCAGCATTTAAAAATAGTGGACTCCAAGCGCAAAGCATAGAAAAACTCAGAAATTACAGCATATCCAGCCGGATAAAAAATTCACGCCCGCGAGGCTAGACGCATAAGCGTTTGCAACTTCTGAGCACTAGAAGTACCATAAACGACCGTAGTTCACAGGTCCTGTGGCCTTGGTATACAGTACAGCACTTGCGGGCGATTTTCAAAAATCGCATACACACAGGTGGAGGTCCATTTTCTCAGTGTGGCGGTCATTTGTTTGTAGAGATGTGACGCTTTTTACCATTTGGTTTCCAAAAGAACGAAGCGGCAACACCTGAAATACTGTTCAATACAACGTTTTTAGCAAAATGCAACCGCTAAATACCGTCAATTCCAGCATGTGGCTCGTTTTAAATCACGCGAAATATGTAAAATTGCAGCATCCGCAGGTCTTTGAACCCTTGCCACATTGTGAATTGCAGCATTTCCACAAGTTCATGAAAGCTCCAGACACTGCTAATAACAGCACTCCTAAAATCTTGTTCATTTCGACTATTGTGATTTGCGTAATCTGCAACTCCTGGCATGTCAAGAACTGTAGATGAACAACGAATGCGGCTTCTGAATGGCTACTTGTAGACGACTGCATGTGCAAGCACATGCAACCTCATCAGCTGTCACGGCTTCCCCCTACTCGCCAACATGTGAAATGATCAGAAGGCCACCCATCTCACATCTCTGCAAACAGAGTGACCAGGAGGTGCATTGTGAAGCAGTAGCCCTATAGTACACGCGGAAGAATTTGGCGCAATAGTACTAGTGCATTTTTTGGCCCGCCCATGGTGCATCGTACCCAGGAGGCGGAGGGTTTCTGTCTTTTTTAGAAAAGGGCTTGGCCAAACAGGCTGTTTCAAGAAGGTTTGGCGAATGCTTTGTTGGGCTCCAGCCTGAGCCAAATGCAGGCCAAAAGCAAAAACAGCTCTGCATTTTATGAAAACCAGATATCAAAAGCGCCAGAACAGTGCCGCACTTTGCGACCAGCACACGCGCAGGACTGTGGCAGGAGCGCGATCGCATTTTTTTGGGCTCCGGCCCAAGCGCGGCACTCCTTTTGGAACCCTTTCATGCCAATAGTGGCAACAGTTCTGCATTTTACGAAAATCAAGCGGCAAAAGTGCCAACGGTTCTGAACTTTGCGACCAGCACGCAAAGGACTGTGGCGTGAGCCTGGCGAAGACGCTCCAAACGGAAGCGTCACCCAAAGCTGTCGACGAAGGACGTTGGTGCCAAAGACGGCGACAGTCATGCAATTGACGTCCGAACCCAAAACAGCTAGCTCGGTTAGCTCTGCACTTTGTGATAAGCACGCTAGGATCTGCTTGCAAATGTAATTGCTAACGATGAGCTGGGGGTTAAGCGGCGCAGGCCCCCCCCTTTGCAAAACATGGAGCTTCATGGAAACGTGTCGCTTGTTGCTAAGCCTTGCTAGGATCTGCTTGCAATCTGATACTGAAAAATTGACAAGGGGGTTGGGCGGGGCGCAGCCTCATCAATTTGCATAACCATAATACTACTACTAATAATAATAATAAGAATAATTGCGAACAAAAACACTAAATAAAACATGGTCATAACAATCATCGTAACAAAATCTCGTATTCATTTTAATCATACCTCACCTAACAAAGCAAGTATAGAAGCTATGAAGCCAGTAGGCCAGGAAGCCAAGAAGCCAATCAGCTAAGAAGCCAAGCAAGTAAATAGTACGAGAAAACTCGGTATTTTGCTGGTAGAAATCTGTATTTACCGTATCTACAGCCTTTCCCGATCTTAAATGCTTTGAACTGCAGTATTTTTGCGTGTCTCATCTTTTTGATGCTGGCAGCTGGCTTGTTTTTGTTGATGCTCGCTCATATTTGTTGATGTCAGTTTTTTGTTTGATGCCTCTCCCACGAAAGCGTCCAGTCTTTCCTCGTTCAGGCTCCCCAAATCCTTTAGGTACCCATTTTGATGTCAACTTTGGCCCATGTTTAATTAATGATTTGCGCAGTCCGAAGCTCCTTCTGATGCCTTCTCCGTTCCAAAAAAAACAAAACTACCAAGGTTCCTAAACCCTACCCCCCAGCCAGCTACCAGATCTCAGCACCAGCACTACCAGACTCACCATGATTCCCAAATTGCTGAGGGGCACTGTCTACAGAGGGCCCAGGAAGCCCATACACTAAACAGGGTCCCCCCATGTTGCGGCTAGAACTCGTTTAAGAACACGTGACCAGACTCGTCACGGCTGCAGCCACGCAAAGCATGAGGTAGCCAATGCCACGTTTTGCCAAGTCTCGTGCAGCATTTGCCGAGCATGTCGCATAAACTCTGCAGATAGAGGGTCCTCCCTGTCTGGCCCCTCCAGAGCAAACGCAGAAATGCCAAGTCTTGAAGCACTAGCCGAAGACCTGCACTTCTTCTTGTCTTGCATTTCATGATGGCCTGATCAGTGGGCCCTCCACGATGCAGTACCTCTTGAAGAAGCAGCTGCCCCTGCGCAGTCATGACCATTCAATGAGTACAAGAAAGTAGAAAGCTTCATCAGGCTTGGCCTTGGCGGCGCATCTTGCACTTGTCTCTGATAGATGCCCCGAGCAGGCGGACGCCTGCTGCGTCCTTGGCTAGAGGCGCACACTCGACCGAACTCAGCCATAAGCCCCATAACAGGGGAGCAGCAAAAAAAGACCGGCAGAGGCTGCACAAAGTAAGACCAGGTTTCAGCTCGCTAGTGTCTGGATGCAACCAGCCAGTAGCCGTACTGCCGACAACTGACAGTAGTCCTGGCCAATCACAGACCATCGCGTCTGAAATTTGTACATGGCTCCTCCGGTGAAATGGTCTTGGTATGTGGCAGAACATCCAGTTCATCATGCAACGCTCGATGTCGCATCCGGCGTATATGAGTCAAACCATATAGGACATGTCTCCTGTCCATTGCGCTGCCGGCCATTTCATCAGAGATGATGGACTGGGTAAGGTATCAGGTAGGCCTTGGCTATGCGCAAGACCCGAACTTGTCCATCTTTGTCTGGCTTATGCAAGGGCTGAGATGCTGTTGCACCGATGTTGTAAGGTGGAGCCAGCAGGAACTCCTTTGAGAACCTTGAGCGGCGTTCAGTTCCAGCAAGATCCAAAAGACGTTGTAGCCGACTCAACTAAGCTGCGGACTCATGGGCTCAACAGCAGGCTCCCCTAGCTTTTGTTTGAGAGCCAGTAGCCGCAGGATGTGTGGCAAAGCGTGATTTGTCGTCCTCGATGCTGGGGCAAGAACCTGAACTGAACCCCTGTCTCAGCTCCGGTTCCAAATGATTCCCCCCCCTATAAATGCAAAGCTGGAGAGTGAAGGCCGGCTTTTTCCTGTCGGATTTGCTGCTGCAGCTTGCAGTGCTGCCATCCCATGTCAACCCAGTGCGGAAGCTGCTTGCAAGCACATCCTTGGCTCGGCGTCGCAAGGCAAGACACCTGCTCACTCGCTCCTGCCAAGAGCCTAGCAGGATAGAATTGCAAAGCTTCGCAAGCTGGACACGTTCTGAAAGCTGGCTGCCAGCCGTGGCCATCATGAATCATCTGGACCACATGCAGCCCAGTTTCAAGCTGCACATTGCCAAGCCCACATCTGCAAGTGGCGCAACGCGCAGGCGCAACTCCCGGTGTCCAGCAACGGGGCCAGTTGTGGCCTGACGCTCTACGTCGCTCAGCTTATCTGCAGCACTTGCAGGAGCTCGCTCGAGCCCAAATCACATGCCAACACAAAGGCCAGGACGAGCAATCGACCATATGAGTCTGTAAGGTTCCTTGGTACTTGAGGCAGCCAAGCTTGCATTCTGCGTCTACATGCCAGGCTATTGACAAGCTTCAGGGCACCGTGCTGGAAGGTGCCGAAGAGGAATAAGGTTTGGTTTAGCCTTGCATTAAACAACAGTAAGAGGTAGTATGGTGGACTTTTCGTTAGATAGAACACGGCTCCCACCTTGTTTCAATGATGCAGCGGTCATCACCACCTGTTCTGGCTTCGTATCTTAAAGTAGCCCAGGACTCCTGCCAGCTCAGAGGCTGCAATGTGACCATTCTTGATCCACCATTAGGCGATTAAGCTTTAGTGTCAGGAAAATGGCCCCCAGGGAACTCTGTAACTGTCTGTTGTGGCTCAGACAGATCCGATGGCTTAAAATGAATGCGTTCAAAGCGTTGCAGGGCTCCTGGTTTCCATTCAGTAACTGGAAGTTGATGACATCCCGCTGTTGCAGGCTGTGCGGGCACAGGCACTGTGCCAATAGTGCATTCCCCGGACTCAGCAACCTAGGTACACTTGCAATGGAAAGGAGCAGCAGTGATTTGGATGCCACCCTCAAATTCAAGCAACTTGCGCCGGAGCGTGCTGCTAGCTGGTTCTGCATCTGCAACGCGCAGGACAATGCCTTGCGGATGCAGAAACAAGCCAGCTTCTGCATGCGAGTTTAATTGTTTCACTTGATTGAAAGTAAACAGCGCAGCGGGGCTTCACCTCTACACTTGGTTGGCCCAACAGACCACAGACCGGCCTCCACTGCTGTCCAGAACGTCATAATTCTGTCCACGCCGAGGCTTGGCACAGAGGAACAAGATGCATTCACAGCCTTCTGGCACCACAAGGTCCGGAGTGAAATAGGCATCTTCCTCGTGACAAATATGCTCATTGTTGCTGGCATTTTTCGTTTGGCAACGCGTTGGAAAGCTCCCGTTCTGTTCAGCGGGGATTCAAGGCCTAAAGTGCAGAGGCTGCTGCTGCTGCTCTGCCGCCAGCAAGGGACTCCAACAGCCTATCACATGTTCCCATCTGTGCAGATAAAAGTCCAGAGCCATCATGGAAGCAACGCTCGGGATGGCTGCCATGAGCATCCGCCGATCTTCGGCATCGCTGCCTGATTCATGCACGGACACAAGATGCACAAGCTATGTGTTGCAATGTGCTGCAGTCAATCGGATCGCTAGTCTGGCCTTTTCGAAATAAATATCGCAGCCCAGCAAAGATGGCCACAGTGGACAAGCAGGCAAAAAGGACCAACGCAACGAGACTCACCTCAATGCCAAACATGTGGCTGCCACAGATCGTGGGATCATGATGCTCGGCATGCAACGCTTGCGCTTCCAGACCAAAACAAGCAGCTATGGCGGCGTTGCTAGCAAAGGTCTGCCGCTTTGCAAGTGTAAAAAGTAGGGATAACTCTTCGTGAGCATCAACAAGTGTCCCTTTGGATGTGGGCACCTCAGTTGTCGGCAAGTCTGGACCAACCGTTGACAATTTTCTAAACCCTCTAGAAAACCTTCAAAAAACTTCTTTACACTTTTATGAACTTTCTAAAGAAACCCATGCACCCTGTGTAAACCCTCGGTAAAAACTTGTGGAAGCCCTCTGCAAACACATTAAAACCATCTATAAGTTTAGTTTTGGACCCCCCAGAAAACCTAACCTTTTGATAAACCTTCTCTATAATACCCATGAACCGTCTTTAAACCTGCTATGTTATCAACCTTCATGAACCTCTAGATACTGGACCTAGCCTAGTTTAGACCACAAGACCCAGACCACAGGCCACCGGACCGCCAGGCAAGTGCGAACAGGTTAGTCCTACTTTATAGCATTCATCATGCGGGGGAGAAGGGGGAGAAGGCCGCAAATGCTGACGCATACAGAGTGCCGGTACTACACAATCTGCAATCTCTGCAGGCCTTCGAGCAACAGTTGAACAGAAAACACCCGTTCTGAAAAGGTATGCTAATGACAGACGGCAAAGCCTCCACTGCCTCGTCAGAAGTTGGAACAACCAAGGTGGAGATGTCGGTCTGCTGCTGCAGAAGTGTCTTGCTAACAGCTAGGTCGGAGAAACTGCAAGACTTTGAGCCGCTATGGGTAGGCTCACTGGAGCAAGCCAGCAGTCCCTGCACGCTTCCCAATGTGTTGGCGATGAAAAAGACCGTGATCGCAGAGGCACAGCATCTAGATTCGGATAGCTCCATGCTTGGTATGCCTGCTCATATGAGAAGGCTTGCTGGGATTCGCAATCAGTGGAAATGTGTAAAGTCAGGTAAGATGTCGCCAACCAATGCCGCGGCCTTGGCTGCCAACGTGACAAGCAACAAAGTCGCAGGAAGACCAGCCAGTTTCACACCCAACGCTTAGACCAAAGCCACGCTTTGGAGCAGCGGCTGCGCAGGACCACGGCTTCGGGCAAAAGCGGCTATGGGGCCACACGATCCAAAGCCGATGAGCAAATGAGCCACGAATATGTTTAGCAGAACTACAGCTATCAAAGAATATGAGATAATATGAGTGCAGGGACTTCATGGCGCACTGCAAGTAAACTGCCAAAGTTCAGGGCAAAATCCCCGAGGAACCAGCCACAAAGGAAGCTCACAGGGAGGCACCTTTCAGGGCAGATGCTGTGGACATGCAGCGCAGCATACTCCATGCAGTTTTTGACTGCGCAGAGCTTGCTCATGCCCTTACTTGGTGGGGAAGCCCTTGCGAAGCAGGCTCGCATATCTAAGGGACTTTCCCGGCGTGCCTTCTCGGAAGGCATCAGCGTAGTGGCCTGCACTGCACTGGATGCAAGACAGTGGCCGGCCAAACTAGCTTGCGTCACTACTGGAGCGCGGGAAGGACAGGCAATGTTCGGCCCACATGCAAACAAGTGTTTATGAGTAGGTCCAGGAGCTGGCCAATTGTTGGGGCTCGGATGCCCTAAAGATGACAACGCCGTTGCTCAGAAGCCAGGCTCGAAATTGCATATGACTGTGGACCTTTGCCTCGCTGGCCAAGACAAATGATGTCTGCGCTGTCTCCTGAAGCAAGCGGTACATTCATCCCAGCAGCACTTCCATCGATGTCTGAAAAGCATGCCTGTGTTGCGGGGCCCGCTGCTCCGGAAGAAACGGCATGTGACCTCAGATGTATCTGATGGACAGCAAGCCTCCTTCTTCTTCTCTCAGCTATGCGCCTCTTACAGCAGGCACCGGCGCACTGCTTTGCTTTGCTTTGCTTTCATTTGTTTTGCTTGCAATGAAGGGACAGGATTCCCCGTCGCCCTTGTAGGCCTCCCGATTCGTAAAGAAAGATAGGTCGGCGTGAGACAACAGGTTGGCCTTAGCTTCCACAATGACAAACTGAATAGGAGTAGACGATAAGCATTACCACCAACAAAACAATAAACTCAGCCATACTAGGAGACTAGGACAGATGACACTTGCTCCTCAGGGCTCAAACACAGGAGTTACTTTTCCAAAGCTGGCCCCAATGCAAAGCGGGAAGGGTCAAAATAATGGCTTGCTGCAGGAACAGAAAGTGTGGGCTTAATTTGCAGCTCCCACTCCCACTTTCAATCAAACAGTTTCCACACGTAAGCCCTTGCACGAATTACGATTTCCCCACCAACCACTGGTTCCGATCATCAGAAGATTCGCGGCTCCAGATGGTAGCTGGGATGCCGTAAAGAGAAAACTCCCCGTAGAAGAGTAGTTTCTTTCGGGGAGGCTCCTGAGAGAGGTGGGCTCCCATGGACTTTCTACTTGACATATTCCTATATCTGTAGCTGTACGTACTGATTTACTACGATTTTACTGCACAAAGGTTTGTCTCAGACTGTCTGCTTGCTGGAGCTCATTGTTTCTCCGGGCATACCTGCTCTCGCTACCCTCCATCCTCTTTACTGATTCAGCACCTGTCTGATGGAGACGAGCATGGCTGTGTCCGGTTCCGACGTGGTAGAGGTCGTCGACACGGGGCTTCCCTCTGGCCATTCCGGATTCTTGCCTCGATTGTTTGCCGTTGGTGACGTTGAGTTAGCGTTGGCCATCGCTTCCACTGATTCGTGAGGGGGTAGTTTGGGATCGAGCCCTGCTGGAGCTGCAGGGGGTTTCTCGGTGTACAGGCAGCAGCTTCACTGATCTGCTGGGCAGTGGAGGACGGGGCATCCTCGCAGAAGATGCGTAGGAATTACTGCAAGGAGGTAGTAGGTCTGGTGACGTATTGGCGCTGTTTGCGCAGGAAAGGATGGCACACGGAGTTTGGGTTCACGGACCCCATCTGGAACAGCTTCGGATATGGGGCCTCAAGCCTCTGCTCGCATCCACTCGTCCACACCCTGGGAGGGGGGGGGGGCACAACCCTGCCCCCAAAGCACTGGTAGAGCGAATACCCCCAAAGGGGGTAGGCAAAGACTTGAGCCAAAATTTTGTCTCTCACTTCTTCTTCTTCTTCTGCGGGCGAAGAAGGACACTGTGACCCTTCCGGGGCACTGCCCCGCGCCCTGATTGGTCCAGGCAGGTTTGGTCGAGCACCCTAGAGGATCGAAGCCTAAGCAACCCATGACCAACCGCCACCACACAAACAAAAACAACTATATACATACAACTACACCCTAAAACGAACTATCCAGCTGGTCATAGGTTGAGCGCGCTTGCTACTCCATAGGGCTGTGAGACTAAGCGGCCATTTCCCCGGCTATTGTAAACTGCTGCTGGCTTCACAATCACCAGGACAGCCAGAAGCCCGGAGCCCGCTTGCAGCAAATGGAGGCTACTAACATCCCACAGGTACCAACAACAAGATTTGTCTCTCACTCTCTCTCTCTCTCTCTCTCTCTCGCTCTTTCTTTCTTCCATTTTCTTCCAGTCTGACGTTGCCCAGGAGTGCTGGCCACTGGCGCCCTCTTTGGGCGTGTGCAGTTGCTCTTTCACTTTGGCAACTCAAAAGACTCGGGATGCTGGAATGGAATAGAATATTCTACTAATGAGTAGAGCAGAAACGCGACACATGGCACATCAACACCGCAAGGGGCACTTAGACAGGCTGCCGCGAGCCGAAACAGAGGACAACTTAGCCATTGCATCATTCCCTCATCTTGCTGTCCTGCACAAATTTGCAGGAAAAATCTGGTCAATTTCAAGCGGTACAATGCGGTACACAAGGGGCTCTTTGTCAATGCAATCGAAGGGGCATATGTGTGCTAGCCCTTGCAACGCGCTTGTCCATGTAGACAGCGGCTCGGTTGGACCATGTTGGACCCATGCAATGGAGTCAAAGGTATGACTGCTTACCATGGAACGCGGAGTAAGTTTCCAACTTTGCCAGTTTTTTTAGCTGTTCCTCCTGTTTTGGGTGGCCTTGTCTTGCTTCCTTTCTTCCTTTCTTCCCGCGAGTTGCGCCGGGACAATGCGCCAAGCCCGACACAGGCTTTGTGAGACAAGCCTGTCTCTTTCTTCCACTCCCTCTGTCACTCACATCTCATCCCATCTCTCCATGCGCATCAGCAAGCAGCACGAGTAAGGAGCCACCTGCAACAGTTGCCTGATTGCATGCCTTGCATTTACATCAGGAGATATCAGGAGCCGTTTGTTTCCTTGATGCGCTGGTGCAGCCTGGATTCCACAGACGCATCGCTATACTGCGGAGCTTACTGCTGTGGGCGCAAAGTCCGTCGCACTGCAACTTCGGTTGTCGACGCACCAAACCCCTCTTCCCCGTAGACTCCTCCACTAGAAGAACGCGGCAAGTCCAGCGTGCGAAGCGATTCAAGTATTATAGGTATATTCCGGTGTGATAATTCCTCAGCTAGTAAGGCCAGTGAAAATAAGCTTTTTGGGCTCTCCACGTCCTCCGCAATGTCGCATGATGTAGATGCGACAAAATTTTCTACGCAGCGAAGTATGGCCTTGCCCCATATATGGTCGCTTCAGGCGCCGCAGTGGTCGCATCACATGGCGTATCCTACATATCTTATTGTCATCAGTGCGCAGGTTCAACGCTCTGATCCTCAGTTTTTACATGTGCACTGGGCCGTGGCCGAGTCAGTGATATTTTCCTCACCATCTCGCCATGAAGCGCACAGAGCTTGCTTTCTGCCTGAGCCTTGCTGTTTTTGACAGCCAGCCCAGCGGTCGCCCAGCAGGAGATCGGGGTTCCCTGCCCTGTCCAGGCCCTTCAGGCTGGTGAGATGGGTTCGAGATGGTTCGAGGATCTGTGACACCCGCATGCCCTCGTTTCAGGCCTGGCTACGGGTGCCGATCTGACTTTGGCACTCGGCTTTCTGCTGACTTCGTGGCTGGGTGTGAGGGTCCTGGTGTTAGCCACCACCCGCACCGGGAGCTTCTCGCTCCTTGCTACAGGTTGGCTACACCAACTGAGCACAGCAATGTGCTTCGAGTTTGGGCCCAGTGCATTGCACGGAGCATTTGTCTTCCAACCAAGTTTCCGTCCCTCCCGCCTCCTGCCCTCGAGCGCAGGAGGATGCAGGAGGCCGTGGGCCTGGCAGGCCCGTGGCATGCCAGGCCCATGCGGCAACTTACGCGATGTGACATGTCTCAGTACCTGCTTGCTGCGGAGATGCATTGCTGAAAGCTGGATGGGCTTTAGGCCTTCTGTGTGTGCTCAACTTCATTTTCTTGCAATCGTTTACCGCGTCTACTTCTATCTTCCATGTATCGCTCATTGTTTGCCTTGCGCAAAATTTTGTTTCTGATACGGGGACCTGGAGCGCTGGAGTATGCCCTAGCTTTGCTCCTAGCCAGATTACTTGCTTGGCAGGCTTCTGCAGGGTAAGCTCAGCCGTGTTAGAGACGCTGCAACATGCTTGGACGTTCTGCGATTTCAATTTTGAAGCTCTCTCTGCTTTGCCTTGCAATATAGGGCATAAGTTTTGCCAGTTAGCCTGGTTGGCAGTTCGGAGAGGAGGAACGGCGGTCTCGGCAAGCGAAGTCTTGAATGCGTCATGCTGAGGTTTATCATGTTTTTCCCTTGCCGAGCATCCTGTGTCTCTGAGAAGTGGAAGGGATTCAGATGTGATGTCATCTTGCCTCCTCTTTCAATGTCACAGCATGTCACAGCTAGGCTGCGTGCGCAGGCGGCGGTGCGGCTGGCTGAGGTGTCTGCAGGATTCCCGACACAAAAGGGAAAGCCGAGTCACAACAGGAGCGGCAGCTCAGGGAGTGCCTCTCCCTTCTGCTGATGCTGCAAGCTCTGCTGGAGTGCTTCCTTTGTCCGCCTCGATTCAGCCATGTGAAAGCTTTTCGGGCCACTCTGGCTGAAGCTAAGGCTCCAGCGATATCAGATCAGCGTTCTGCGCAAGCAGATCCTTGTCAACCGTGTGCTTAACCTCCAACGGTGGGAGCTGCTCACATGCACGGGCAGCGAGATAACTAGAGAATCCACTGGTTACGCCAGTCTCCATGGTTCCGTTATAACATTTATGTGGTGTCAGTGAAGGGCCATTGCCGTGTTAGGGTTGATTATGGGCTCCAAACTCTATAACTCTATAATATAGACTCAGAAATATGTTCGAAGAACGGGTTCCGAGGTCTTCTTCCAGTGAAGCTTCTTAGTGGCCTGCCACCGGTCAGGCAGTCTGAAAACCAGGAGGGTGACGGAATTTCGGCAGACTGCCCTGATCGTTTTCTTGAGACGCCTAAATAACTTCCACTACCAAATTTGAGTCACGCGTACTTTTTTTGAACCCATGCTAGGTCACACATACTTGATTGGTTCAAGCCTGTTTTGGAACTGGCTGGCGAATGATTAGCCCATGGCTACTAGAACTGGCCAAGACCTCTTCTGTGATAGTGGACGAGGCAATCCAACTTTGGGTTGAGGTCAGCTGAGATCTTTTCATTTGCCCACGCAAGAGAAGGTGCGGGAACACGGCAGGGCAAGATCAGTTTGCATCATGCACTGCTCATTGCCATCAACAGAGGCTAAAGAGGGCACACTTATCTCCCTGACTGCTGGCAGGTTTTTGAAGCTCTCTGCATGGTTCATGTTAAATCAAGTGCTGGTAATGCTGCACAGTGCTACCTCGCATTTTGCTTGGTAGAAATCCACGCAGGATCCAACCAGAAACAAAGGACACGATGCTAGTACAACCAACGGCGAAAACCAGCCGGGTTGCAGCCTCAACTGAAATGGAGTCTGATCTGGCGACATCTTCGGTATTCGCTTTATACGAGAGGAGGCTGGTGGCAGATAGCGCCTGCCGCTCGTGCCACAGCGCACGGGGCCCGGCCAGCTTACTTTTTGGAATTGATTTTTGGACAGGGCGCCCCTGTCTAAGATAATGAGCCACATCCTCCGCGAAAACAACCTTTGCAACTGCCCCCCTCATGACCTCAATCGCATTGAAGTGCTGCTTGCTGGCGGTAGAGACGCCATCCGCGACCAACACCACGTCGTACTGCAAACTAAAGGCGTGAAATGCCGTGGAGATGATGCAGTCATCAGTCCAAGCGCCAACTTGAACCACTGTATCCACGCCCAGCTTCTGCAACTCGACATGGAGCGTTCCTGTCTCCAGAGCTGGTTTCTAACTTTGATTTGACAAGCTTGTGCCCACGCAAGGCGCCGCTCTAAGTAGGTTACATGATTTACATGCCATCTGCTTTGCGTGCCTTGGTTGTCAGGCACTGCCCACTCCATAGGTCGCTCGTCAAACATATCGAGGGAATAGCTCTTGTGCATGACCCGACGCCACTCCTCTGGAGTCTGAGGCGAAACGGAGGCCAAGACATCCTCTTCTCTGCACACAAGGCGGCATGGGCTAAGCAGCGAATAGCGCTTCATTGTTCAAGGGTCGATATTATTTGAGGGAAAAAAGTAAGCAAAAAGACACAAAAACTCCTCTAGGCTGTGTGGCAAGAATCTCCCCCATCCCGCTTGTGGTTGTACAGGGCATTAGCGCTGGTGTTCCACCTCAGATAGCATGGCCAGCCGTGTTGCAGCAAGGCATGGATGCAATCCAATCGGGCCAGAGTTGCCCAATTGGGCCGTAGAACCGATCCATGGAGTTGAAGAATCCATCCTCGGGACCCCAGCGCCACCACGTGCTCCAGAAAACTGGCAGATTGGCCTCCACAAGGGCAAGTTGGGCAACGCCGTAAGTTTTCACTCGGGACATCTCGCGGCTGCTTTCAAGGCCTCACGGAAGACTTGCAAGAGCAACTTCACTTGCGGGACAATTCCATGAACGTAGTCGCCGTACTCCACCTGCTTGCATGCAGCACTAAGTCATGCTGCGCATCACGAGTCCACTTTGAATCTCAAGCGCAAGAAGCTGCAAGCATGACAACATGGGCCTGCATGTCGTCAATGAGCAGCGCAGGAGTGCGCTTGCGGTCGGATAGGTCATAAGCACACCAAAAATCGGTGAGGAGCGGGAACTGCAGCGGATTTGACTGGACAACGGCAGTCATGCCTTGTTCCTGAGCTGTCTGCGTCACGGTTGTACGGTGTATGTAGCGTTGTCATGACGAATCTTACTGTACAGTACCAAGCGCTCACGATGCTTGACGTTGCTTGACTTTACTGTCCACTGTCTTATGCCATGGCAAGTCATGCGCACATTTATGGTTCTGGTGCATGAGGCTCGGAGTTGGCAGTCGCGTCGGCAATCTCTTTGAACGCCTTCTCCCCATGCTCAGCCATAGCTGGCAAAGGTTGCTCACCAGGCGAAAGCTTGCCCCATGCTGCAAGGCCACAGGAAAGCAGGCAAAGCAAGCGCAGGTATGCCATGTGTCTGGCTCGACTCCAGGAAACCAGCCTTCATCCGTGAGCCAATGCTGTCACAATAGCGTGTTGTGGGCGTTGAGGGTGCGCCATGCCCTGCAGAATGCTTTAGCCTGGCAAGACATCCAATCTAGGCCTGCAAGCTTGTACCAAGATATCTTTCAACCCGTAACTGAACTGGAATCATCGCGGGCACCTACAAAAACCCTACTAGCAAAAGCATGGGCTGCATTGGCAGCAAAACACTTGTGTTATGCTAGGTTCTACACCTGCGCATGTAGTCTGTCACATCTCCAACCTGCTAGATATTTTTCGCTTAAAAACTACTAGATCGTCACTGCCATCACAATCAGTGTTGCAGGTCTGCCGAAGCAAGCTTGACTCCGGTTTGTGACGCTTCTGCAAATCCATGCTCGCACTGTTACGTAAGTTCAGCAAGACCTGGTTAATCCGGGCGACTAGCACATTGACACCGCACTTTACATTTTAACAGGCTACAGTACAACATGACTCGCTAGCACGTTTTCAGATTTATGCATGGTTGTCTTCCTGACGGCTTTGTGAAAAAAGGCAGTCAAAAAGTTCAAGATGAACATGCCTTCTAGTGCTTGACTATGCAATACCATGCAACACTCCCACAGCTACTGCTTGAGGAGATACGGATGGGTTGTTGCCGCTCCTTGTCCACATCCGCTGCTTTCTGCAATTCTTTTGCTTGTGCCTCCACTCTGCCATGCCTCCTCTTATGCCAATTCTTGTTCACGGCAGGACACAGGTATGCCTGCCTCTGACTCGGCGGATGGCTTCGAAACCTTGCGAGAAGCAGCAATCTCTCGTGATAAAACAAAGCGGCTTGGTTTCTTCACCACAACTAAATCTTGCGGCGAAAGCCCGCAGCTCGCTCATCATCCCAACACCACAACCGAACAAAGCACAGACCCAGCAATCACACTCCGAATGATGCTTACTCTTACTTAATGCAACTCATGTGTGTGTGTGTGTGCGACATTGCGGCCACCTTCTCCCCGTCGTCTATCTTTTTAGCTTTCTTGGCTGGCACCTCCGCTCTTGCAGTCTGCGCTTAGTGCGTTGTTTCATCCGTTCGGGTGTACCCACCACAGAAACACTGACTAAACGCGCCTCCGCATCCGCAGGCATCTTCCGTGCCTTGTTAGCAAAGGTACCCGCTTGCGTGGATGCTCCCACCAATGTCCCGATCTGTATTCCAGCATTCTCAACTACAGACATCTGCTGCAGATGAATAGGATCGTGTGTCCTTATGCATTCCCGCATTGGCCCACTTCTTAATCTGACCCAGCCAGCATCGCCACCGGACGGTGGGCCGGTGCCCGCCAGCACGAGAGATCACGAGAGCACCGCCAGTTCATCGGCCCCAAACCACTCAGCACGATAATGTGCTTGGCTGCCGCCGGGTAGGTGGCGCTTGAGTCGCTCGGCTACTCGCAATGCGGCCCTTTCCACATCCGTGCTGCGAGACTTGGATGAGGAGAGCGTCGCTGGAGGATTATTCCCCTGCTCCCCCTCTTCATACTTGTTTGGCCTCCTGTTGCCTTTGCACATGACGTGCACAGGGGCGGGCCGGACCCTAGGCACAAGAGGTTGCGGAGCAAATGCCGAAGCACGCCACATTTTGTTCACATTCGCATGTCAAATTGACGTCATCATTACACACCCTCTAATCTCACAATTCACAAAGGGCTTCCTCAGCTTTTCAAGGTTTTGCTCTAGGGTAGGGGGCGGGGAGGCCTCTCATTATCACCACCAGCGCCGGCAGCAGCACCACCTCCACCAGCCGTATATAGTCGTCGTCGAAGTCGTAGAAGTCATAATAGTGGTAGGCGTAATAGTGGTGATGGTGGTGGTGGTGGTGGTGGTGGTGGTGGTGGTGGTGGTGGTGGTGGTGGTGGTGGTGGTGGTGGTAGTGGTAGTAGTAGTAGTAGTAGTAGTAGCAGCAATGCTAATACTGCTCCTGCCCCTCTTGCTGCTGCTGCTGCTGCTGCTTTCAACTATTTAGTAGTTCGTCGGATGCTGCACCACCACCGGCATTTAAACAACCCCATCAACCCTAAGAATAATTGGGGTGACCGTTGTAAAGAGCTACACAGTTGCTTGGGGGCATTCTCTTTTTGCAAAGACAGGACCCCCCCCCCCTGTCGAGTGCACGCAGGCTGACAAAACCAACGGAACAAAAAGGTGCACATGGGGCGGAAGAAACCCCCGGCTAAACCCTTGGTCTCAACAAAGCATCCTCGCTCTTCTTCCTTATCGTTTTAAAGGGTTTAAGTACGAGGTGCGGCTTCAAGTATGTGTCTGTTAGTGCTGGAACGCTCTGTGCATAACCAAAGGAACCTACCCCATTCCAAAGGACAGCAACTTCAATCGTCCAGCACGCAATCGTAGTAAAGACCAAGCAGACTGGTCATAGGTCATTGAAGGGAACACTTAGGCTGGGCAGCAAGGGGGCAATGGCTTGCCATACCCGGCTTCGCGCAATCAACATTATCGTTCCAGTACCGTTTTGCTGCCCCAACTTCGCTCACAAATCTTGCTCAGCTTACTGTTCATGCTCTAGTTCAAAGACAGTTTGTTGCATTTTCTTCCTTATCGTGTTCACGGGACGGGGTTGGCAAACCTCCCGTAACTTACGGGCCGATCCCTTCATAATTCCTATACCCGCGGGGTTATTTGAGTATTTTGACTTATTATGCATCCTCACGTTGTAGACGATTGCTGCTGCTGCCTTCTCCGCTTCCGATGCTTTTTTCGCTTTCTTTGCTGGCACCTTGCAGTCTCTAGCGAAGCCGGGTCAATGCAAAACGGCCGACGCCTCTGAATCCGCGGATTTCTTGACTGCCTTGCAAAGAACAGAAGTGCATGCAGATCTTGGATGATCTTGGCTGGGATATTTATGAGCATTCCTTTCACAAGTTCCAGCGGCGACCTCCTACAAACCCCGTCACAGACTTCAACCGACTTGCACCCAGCGTAGGCTTGGTCATGCAGCTAGTAATGACAACAGAGAACAGTCCCGGCAGAATCGCATCAGGGACGTCCTGTCATGGTCACACCCCGAACCCCAAGCCAGCAGTGCCTTCTCCACATCCAAAACATTTTTGTTGTTTTTTGCCGATGCCTGTGCTGGCAGTCTTCAGCGATGCGCCTAATTGCAAAGTGCTGACTACCCTGTCCTGCGAATCCGCGGGCGGCCTCGGTGCCTTGCAGACAATGGAACTGTGCGTCCGTCAAGCTGCACACCAAAATGCGATCAAGCCGCTGGCCCTAAATCCAACAAAGAACAATTCAGCTAGCAACTGCTGAAAACAGTCTTCTTGCATGTAACGGTAATCCGATGGACTAGCAAAATGCGGTATCTCTCGGGACACTCTCACACCTTGCCTTCTGCGTTTCTGATGCCTTTTTGGGTTTCTTCGCTTGCGCCTCCATTTTGCAATCGCCAACGGCTCCTCTCATTTTTCGAAAGGACTTTGTGAGCCCGCCTCCAGATCCGCGGACGGCTTCGGTGCCTTGCAAATGCCAGGATCCCTTGGCAGAGATTTAGCATTCCTAAAACGAATGGCTCCAAAGGCCATCCTCTTGAAACGACTTGAAAAGCCAGCACAAAATCCAGGCAGCGTGCACTTAGCAGAAATGTAAAAGACCTGGCCTTTACATCTGATGCCTTTTTGGGCTTCTTTGCCTGTGCAATCTCGCGCTCTCCCGCGGTGGGGTGTCAGATTGTTTTGGCGTGATGCATATGACCAACTTCGCCCTGCCTCCGGGACGGCAGGCTGCTTCGGTGCCTCGCGCATGACCAGACAACCGTACAAAGAATTGCACAATGCTGGAAAGACTGTGGGAAGCATGCTTTGACCTCCCAACTTTTTTTGTTGACCTACTCGCCCTCAAATGGTTCCTTTCTTTTTGAAATCACTGGCTGCATAAGAAACCGCGCGAAAACACACCTAAAGTGTACGAATTACATGTGCTGGCAGCTGGGCAGAGCCGCATGCTAACAAAACCACAGCCTGCTCCACATCCGATGCCTTCTTGCTTTTCTTTGTCGGCACCTCCGGGTGGTGCGATGTTTGGGGTTTGTGCTTGAAGGTATAGAAAGCACGATTGATCAAAGCCGCCTCTGAATCCGTGGATGGTTTTGGTGCCTTGCCAAACTGTTGACAAGTAAATGATAAGTAGCAGGCTTTGCTCAAGGTAAGTCAAATCGTGCGAGAACATTTCCTGTTGCCGTACCCAGTTGGCCCACGGCAAACTGCCCACCATACAATCCCATTAACAGCTCTATACGAAAGAAAATTCAGCTTACCCCAAAACCCGCAGATGGCTCGGTTGCTTGCCCATCCCGGCCCCCGTGTAAGGGGCCACATTTCTCAGCAGCATGCAGGCCCGCGGGGTAACACGCAGCAATGATCTGTCACTGATCTGTCATTACCATTGTGGGGTCTGCAATGACAATGGTCTGCACTGACTTATGCACGTGTTGTATTCTTGGTTTGCTCCATTGCCTTCTGCTTTTGCTTCTTGATGGCCTGCAGTCAAGAATGCCATCGGATGCCGTGAGCGCACTGTGAACCACCATCTTCAGCATGCTCTGGAGGTCTCTGAGCATAAGAAAAACTCGCAACAACTTCAAGATTGGCCTCATTTGGCTTTGAATCCTCTTTGGACGTTGCCTTCACGCTGTCAAGCTTACAATTTCATGGAGCCTGTTTGTCACAGTCCTTGGCCGTGTGTGTGTCCGGGGCTTTAACCGCCTTCCCGACCTGATGTGAAGATGCTCATCACACAGTACGAGGGACCAGCATGATGCCTGATGGCATTCTGTGACTTGACACCCATATCTACAAACATTGTGGCATCTCCCGGTCGCTTGAGGGAATCTCTCTAAAAAGTTTGCCCGACATGCGAAGAGCAGTCAGAATCACGGCCTTCGCCGCCTGCTCCGCAGGCACCTTGTCATGTTTGTGCTCCTGGCATGTCACGTGACCAGCTGTCCTGACGCTGACATTTGTTCAATCCGTAGGCGGCGCTCCTTGTCATGTAACCATTGCTCCAGTATGTCCATGTCTTTCTTTATGTCCTGCAACAATATCGAGAGGGTTCACATATGGGGGTTGCTTAGGGGGGGACCCCCCCGCAGGTACTTTTACAGCCGGTTCCGGAAGAAAAAAACTTGATTTCTCTGGCACCTTGGCAACCCCTAACACGGTACCAGGCCCCCCCCAAGGACATTTCACCTGTATGAAAACGTTGCAAGAGACAGTGGACGCCGGGATGGCCCTAGAGTAGGTGTACACACTATACAGCGTGTAGGGTTTAGACTCCAAGTCCATGGCCCTAGAGTAGGTGTATAATATACGCTATACAGCGTGTAGGGTTTAGACTCCAAGCCCATGGCCCTAGAGTAGGTGTATGAACTATACAGCGCGTAGGGGGCCCTTTGGCCCTAGAGTAGGAGTATGCGCTATACAGCGTGTAGGGTTTAGACTCCAAGCCCATGGCCCTCGAGAAGGTGTATACACTATACATCGTGTAGGGTTTAGACTCCAAGCCCATGGCCCTAGAGTGGGTGCATACACTATACGGTTATGGAACCCACAAACTTTCAACACTAATACGGCAAAAATACAGAAACGTGGAGGGGTTTCCCATGAATGGTCCCAGGTTCTGGACGGGATTTCAGTATTGTGAGTACTTGGGACCGTTCAGGCTGTTCGGAAGCAAAAATTATGCAGTAAAGGAGCCCCCACGAAAGCCCCAACCCGGGTCCGAGTCATTTTGGGCGAACCTACAGTTATGGAACCCCATAAACCTTCAACACTAAGCCCAAACCCTATTATCACTACTATGACTACTATTACCAATATCACTACCGCGGCTGGTGCTGCTAGAGTTATTGTCATGAGCGATTAATACTATTACTGAGTATAGTAAAAACAGCTAGTAGTGCTGTCACGGCTGCATCTCTACAGATACCTACTGTTGCCACCATTCCTAACATTACCCTCCTTCCTACTATTATACTAGTATTACTACATGCACTAAATATGTTACCTGTTGCTAATACTTGGTACCATGATTACCACTACAACTGTTGCTACTATTACTTACTTCCCGATTACTACTACTCCTACTACTCCTACTACTCCTACTACTACTAATGATAGTAATACAAATAATTCTGCTACTACTGTTACTGTGATTACCTCCGTTACCACTATTACTTGTTCCGACGTGGATCATGGTTCACCTGGCGTGCCGACCTTACCTAAAATGTACGAAGGGCGAAGGGAGGGTACCCCCCCTTGGCGAGGCCGTAGCTGAAATGTACTTTGGGGGGGGGAGCCTCCCCCGCTTTTGAACTTGAAAAGAACGTGCTTTAACGTACCCACCCCCCCTTGGTACTTTTTAAGGAACCCCATATTCACATTCCATGGCCCTGCCAACGCCATCTTGCAATTGGACTCGGGCAGGGCCTTTTTGCGATCGACATCCTCCTCCTGTCGAGGCACGGCCCACACAGCAAGCCAAACGTTGGCCAGCGGCTCAAGTGTTGTCTCTCTGCTGGACACAATGACTAGGATCTCTACCAACCTGGAAAGGGCTCAGCAACGCATTTGCAAGCAACAACATCTTTGATATCCAATGGCTAATGGAAGGAACTCGCGTACATGTCCTCAGCAAATTCCTTCTTTTTCTCAGCCTAATGGATCTGTGTGTTGTAATCCTCCTGATGCAGCTGTTTGACGCTAAGGCCAACACAAGCATCTCCCGCAGATTCTCAAGTTCATCCACCTAGAAGTTGCATGAAACAGCCACGAACAGCAACCGCATGGCATGGAACATCATGGAACCAAACACCATGTACTGTTGTGGACCAGGAGACCAAAGAGCGGGCAATCGCATATGATATATACGTATATATATTTATACTCACATATCCTATGCTCACTTCCAGAGGATAGAATGAAGCCCAAACATCACCCAAGACACAAGCAAATTAATCAATTCCATGGCTTAGGATGTGGCATCTACGGTCTCACTTTCTTGTCCGCAAACCATGAGAATGTTGAAAAGTGGTTCGAGGTTGTGTCTGGAGGGGTGGTGACCATATGTATTTATACAAATTTCACTGGCGCAAGGCCGCGCTGAAGCTAGCCATCGCAAGAAGCATGCGCAAGCATGGCGGCACCTTCGATTTGACTTCTCCTGCCCACCAGCAATGTAATGTCTTTGCCAAGTACAAATTACAGATGCATGTCACATCACTAAACCAGTAAGCGTCCTGCGCGGACACCACTGTTCGTGTCCCCGGATTTCAACCTGTGGGCCAACTGAACAGGCACTGGCCAATTGCCTTAACAACTAAGGCTGCGGCTTGCTTGTTGGGGCGCTGCTGGAAGCTGTATAGCTTGAATAGCTGGGGGAAGATGACGATGGAGACCTGCAATCTGGGATAGGACACATTCTTAACCACGTGCTGACCACTCTTCTTGATGCCTCGCGTGCGGCATCGGCAATGTCACGTCCGTTGTAAGGCCAGCAACATCATGATAATCTCCTGTTTAGCATGCTGGTGTGGGCACTTTCCAACACATCAGTGAACTCGATGTCCTCTCCCTCGCTGATCACTTGGTGTGGTTGAAAGGTGTCATGTGTTGTGTTTGGTTGTGGCTTGTGTGCTCGGCTGGGTGAGGGTTGCTCGGTTGCTTTTGTCTGCTTGGCCGGCTGCTATCAAAGTTGATTTTTCCGAAATGCCGCGTTCATGGTACGGTATATTCATTGCTTGACACGGTCTGAAACGGCTGCGTCATGGTCATATGATCATGTTTTCTAGCATGCTATGTTGTTGCCGCCGGTGCTGCTCCAATTTGTTACAAGGGCTGGCATGCAGGCTGTTGATTCGTTTTGTTTTGCTTGTTGGTTCTTGCTTCCCGCTCGACCCGGCGTAGACCTTCATTCTCAGCTTCCTTCTAGGTGGATGCCATGTCGGAAGTGCTGAAACGGTTCTCATTCTCACTGTTTGGGCACTACATGCAGCGGAGCCGGACCGCGCGTTTCGACTGTCCAGGCGTGACGTTCTTAGGAGCAGTCTGAGCCGTGGCCGGCTGCGGTCCTGCCGACCCTGTGTTCCGGGTATGCCGCGAGAATTCGTAACCCACGAAACGATTCCGTTATCATCCCGGGCACGCCGGCCAAAGCACGAGATTTTTTCAGCGAAGCCGGTGGCTTGGGCATCATATCGTTGCATGCCCAACATTGTCAAGTATCGGTGGCCGGACAACACACATCATCTAATTCAGTTGGCTGTCTAGCCGTGTAGCCCAAGCGGGAACGCAACTCAGATTACGCGCAACGCCCATTCATAACAGTGTGAATGTGGACAACCTTGGGCAGCTGAGCACATCTACACGGCACCCCGCTAATGTCCCATTGGCCTACAATACTCCTTGATGAGTTGGATGTCCTTGGCCCTCCTGATGTTCAAATGGCGTCTGGCGCCGGGTCATGATGAGCACCTGTGATGGACGCGCAAGTGCTCAGCATGCTCGGCGCTTTCTTGGACTCTGGCGCGCACTTCGTGTTCTCAATCTCCATGCCATGCCCTCGCTTGGAAAGAAACCCGCTATGTTGTGGTTCCCCCCGCAATGCAAACATCTCTTGATTCGATCCAGGTGTTGACGTTAACGTAAGCTTGCCGCACCGCACTTTGATTTTCTAGAGGCCACGTGCGGGCACGTTTTTGCTTTTGTCTTTTTTCCTTCCCGCTCTGCCGCAACTGCGAGGTGACAAGCTGTAAGCCCTACTTGCGAAGACTCAAAACAGAAGTGTGTACCCATCATGCACCCAATTGAGAAAACGTTCGAGGGAGCGCATACAGTTCCTGCGTCTAGTTGGGGGTAGGGGCGGGCCTGGGCACGGACAGCCGTATGGAAGCGCTGCCAAGGCGGCCGGGACGGGGGGTTCCCCGATAGGAGTTCCACCAGGAATCTTGCGCATGCACGTTGGCAGCGACCGAGCTCATGGGTGTAGCGCCCCAGACCGTGCTGCTGGCGGGAAACTATGGCGGCATACACTTTGGAGGCAAGCACGCTCGCTGTGGTGCAGGCAGCCCGTGGCCGCCGCATTTGCATGGCGTCAACGGAATGTAGACGTCGGTGCTCAAGTATTCGAGTGGCACTTAACAGGAACCCAATTGCCAAGACCATCTTGCACTGCCAACACCGTACCCATCGGCTCCCTAAATTGTTCTGTTTTACCACATTTTTCAACGCGAGTTGGATCTTACAAGGCACCCCGGAAAGATTGTATTTAAAGAGGCTGCACGATGGCAATAACATGGTTTCCGTTTCTCTTTGTTCTGGCCTGGGTAACCAAATCATGTTGCACTCACTGTTGTGAAAGGATCCTCTTTAATGTGTTTCCGCGGCCGCTCATTCAGGATCTGGCCAATGCTGGGAAGACACAATTCTTGGGTTTTGGGGCCGAAGAATAAAGGAAGATTTCAACCATATTAGCTAAAAATATGCCATAATTTAATTCAGAAAAGCTTCAAATCTTCCTCTCAGAGCTCAAGCTCATAAGCTCAAGCTCAACGGCTCAGAAGCCTGAAAATGGTGCCTTGCAGCTCCTTGAAAAGCTTGCAGTTGCCTGTAAGCTTCCACCGAACTGCCGAATCTGGTGCCTGAAGCCGCTCAGTTTTATTATGTTTCATTAAACTCCGTATTTTTGTACAACCTTACGAATCCTCTTGAAAATCATTTCAGCAAGAGGGGCAGTCCGGCAGACCCCTGGACTTTGAATAGCTACCATTGTTTGCAAACCTTCTTTAATTTGGGAGCCTTGGGCACGTGCAGGCTTTAAAACTTTTCCCAGGATTTTGAAAGGAAGGCCATATCATTGTACGGGGGTGGAGGGGGGGGTATGTAAAGCAAAAAAATTGTCATATTACGGTGCCCGGAAAGAGGGGCACGCATGGAACGGATGTTTATCGTCACAGTGTCACTGTTTCGAACCGTCGGCATATCAATTTTAGGTACAGCTTGAAGGCAACATGAGCCGACACCTATGACCAGGAACGGCACTGGCTCCTCCAGGCTTGCCTTCGCTGGCGAATCCAGCTCTGGGTGTCAGCGCTGGCTAACACTGTTGCCGCTGGCCGCATGCAGGTCTGCCAATTTTAAATTGGTGTTCATGAAATTGCGAGACTCGCGGGACCACTCGGCGACATATACCGGCGGGAGACGAAAACTCACGCGAGAGCCTCGCGCTTTTCTCGACCTTTCTGGGTGCAACGCCTTGGGGCGCATCAAAGTAGGTCTCCTGCTCCCAGTCCCAAAACAAAGACGGCTGAAGCACCTTGCGTGTCCAGAAGACGAGGTGAAAATGAAAATACGAGGTGAAGAAGAGAAGAATGAGGTGATGAAATTGGAGAATAAGGTGGACAACGATATGCCAACTTGTGGATCACGCCCATGCGCTCCGTCGTGTGGGCGTTGAATAAGAAGCCGAGGTGGCAGGCGCGAAGCGTCGCCAAGCGCCCGCGCATAGACCACCTGGTTTTTGAAGGTCAATGTTTTTCTCCAAGTTCAAAATCTTCCGCACAGATTTCGGCATGGCCTGCATGAAAACACGTAAATTAAACCCTGCCAGCTTCAGCCTCATATCAGCCGGATAGCCCGCACCCTTGCGCTTATTCCTTAATCCCTGAAACTCTTTGAGCTCTAGCCCATATCTGTTAAATCCGATTTTTTTTGTTTTTTTCTCGGACCTTTTTGTGTCTGCCAATCTGGGTCCCGGTCAGCTAGCTCTAGCTAGCTTTCCGACGGCCGCAGTGGCAAGCGGAGAGGCCCCTCTGCTGCCGCGAGGCGCAGCAGCTGGTCCAAGTCCGGGCCGGACGGGTTTCCCGCAGCGCTTGTTGCCAGCTGCGGTCCCTGTGGGC